AGGAAGGAGTACAGCAGAAAGGGATCTAGGGGTTATAGTGGACCACAAGTTGAATATGAGTCAGCAGTGTGATGCCGTTGCAAAGAAAGCAAACATGATTCTGGGATGCATTAACAGGTGTGTTGTGAGCAAGACACGAGAAGTCATTCTTCCGCTCTACTCTGCGCTGGTTAGGCCTCAGTTGGGGTATTGTGTTCAGTTCTGGGCCGCATTTCAAGAAAGATGTGGAGAAATTGGAGAGGGTCCAGAGAAGAGCAACGAGAATGATTAAAGGTCTAGAGAACATGACCTATGAGGGAAGTCTGAAGGAATTGGGTTTGTTTAGTTTAGAAAAGAGAAGACTGAGGGGGGACATGATAGCAGTTTTCAGATATCTAAAAGGGTGTCATAAGAAGGAGGGAGAAAACTTGTTCATCTTGGCCTTTGGGGATAGAACAAGAAGCAATGGGCTTAAACTGCAGCAAGGGAGGTTTAGGTTGGACATTAGGAAAAAGTTCCTACCTGTCAGGGTAGTCAAACACTGGAATAAATTGCCCAGGGAGGTTGTGGAATCTCCATCTCTGGAGATATTTAAGAGCAGGTTAGATAAATGTCCATCAGGGATGGTCTAGACAGTAGTTGGTCCTGCCGTGAGGGCCGGGGACTGGACTCGATGATCTCTCGAGGTCCCTTCCAGTCCTAGTAGTCTATGATTCTATGAGTCAACATTGTGCCCTTGTAGCCAAGAAGGCTAGTGACATATTAGGGTGCATTAGGAGGAGAGTGCCAGCAAATCTAGAGAAGTGATTATTCCCCTTTATTCAGCACTTGAGGGGCCACATCTGGAGTATGATCTGTTTGGTTCTCTCCTTCCGGGGCACCTGGCATTGGCCACTGTCGGCAGACAGGATACTGGGCTGGACAAACCTTTGGTCTGTCCCAGTATGGCCATTCTTATGTTCTTATGCTTCTCCAAACAGTGTGTCATCCACTGGTGAGGGTGCCAGGTTGGGAGTCAGGAGACCCAGGTTTTATCCTGGCTCTGTCACTGACTCCTGGCTGGTACTGGCTAGTCATACAAAATCAAAATGATGATGCTTACCCATCCCCCTCTTTATAAAGCCTTTTGAGATCTTCAGCTAAGTTAGGTTTGAGTGTGAAGTGATATGTTATCGGATCTCATAAGAAAAGCAGGGGTGAGCAAAGAGCAGACAAGCATGTTACTGCTTGGACACTGAAATCCATACCTACTTCTGGTACAGGTTGAATCTCTCTAGTCGAAATCAAAATGATGATGCTTACCCATCCCCCTCTTTATAAAGCCTTTTGAGATCTTCAGCTAAGTTAGGTTTGAGTGTGAAGTGATATGTTATCGGATCTCATAAGAAAAGCAGGGGTGAGCAAAGAGCAGACAAGCATGTTACTGCTTGGACACTGAAATCCATACCTACTTCTGGTACAGGTTGAATCTCTCTAGTCGAGCACCCTCAGGACCTGAGAATTTGCCGAACCAGGGGAGGTCAGTAGTGTCTAGCAGCATTACCAACGCTCCCACTGCTTGCTCGGCTCTTAGAAGAAGAGCTAAAGAACAGCCCAGAACACTGAGAGCCAGGATTGGTGGCTCTAAACAAACTTTATGGGACCACGGGAAACTTGGCCACACCCATGATCAGTGGACATCCAGCTAACTGAAATCATGACAGACTACGGATGTTGCTGGACCAGAGAGTGCCAGACTGGGGAGGTTCAACCTGTAGCTTTGTGTGACTGTAGATCCAGTACATTGAAGGGGAAGGCAGGGGCATTTATCACCATCACAAACTCAGGTATTGTAACTGTGATATCTTAGCACGTTGCCTGCAATCTGCTGAGCCTGGTGCATGCTTTTGTGCCCTTTTAGATGGGATGCCACACTTTCAGTGTCACTCTGAGTCTAGTTCATGTGCATATGGACTCCCTTGCCACTGGAGTTTTAAATGAAGCCGGATGTTTTCTCTTCCGCTGTTTTCTTCTTCCTTCAGCCACCGAGGAAGTATTCAATATATATTTCCTTGGAGAGATTTTGTAGACCCATGTCGATGCGCGGGATTTGTCAAAACATGCTGTGCAAGGCTGTCTAATGTTTACCCCACACATCTGTTTGAAATTACAGCTGGCACTAGAGATTGTATATGATGTGCCAAGCACACATCCTTTCCTTCGAAACTCACTTCTTGTGCAAAGGCCACAAAGTCTAAACCACCGCGTGAAAGATGGGAGAAAAGGGAGGGAAATAAAACCACTCTTTAGAATGAACCTTCTTGTTGGGTCTCCGAGGGCATGAGATTCTCTCTTCCTCTTTACAGTCCTCATATATCTTGTGTCGTGTAATGCAGCGTGGTTATGCAACAGTGTCAGGTATAGGCTTCATAGCTGTATGGGACACAGAGACATACAAAATGTGAAGGGAGAGGGCTGCGCTAGCAGAGATGCACCGCTCAGACCAGAAGTTCAGATAAGTCCCATGTCTAGCAGAGCTGCTGACAGTGGTTAAGAATTCATAGGTTCAGAAAGTGGAAGGAGTTAGCCCCAATGTTCTAGTCAACAGTTCCTGATTCTACAGGTAGGACCTCTCTAATCCGGCACCCTCGGGACCGGACTGGTTCTGAACAAGACAATTTTCTGGACCACAGGAGGTCAATGTTGTCTAGCAGCATCACCAACACTTCCATTGTTTGTTTAGGAGTAAATTAGAGCTAAATAACATCACAGAACCAGGATTGGTGGCTGTAAACAAACTTTATGGGACTTCAGGAAACTTGACCACACCCATGAAAAGTGGACATCTGGCTCACTAAAATCAGTCTGGACCAGAGATGTTTCCAGATCAGAGAGTTCTGTACTGGGGTGCATCTACACAGCAGAGCTTAACTCGAAATAATCTATGCAAATTGAGCTACGTCAATTGCATCACTTATTTCGAAATCGCTTCTTTCGAAATTGGGAGCGCCTACACAGCACTTATTTCGAAATAGAGCACTTTTCCTCCAAATCCCCTTACTCCTCATACAATGAGGATAAGTCCTCCAGCTTGGTAGTTATTTCAAAATAACTGCCTGCTGTGTAAATGCGGACTAAGTTATTTCGAAATAACGCTAGTTATTTTGAAATAATGTTGCTGTGTAGGTGTACCCCTAGAGAGGGTCAACCTGTAGTGTCCAACACTAACAGATGTGTATTGTGAGCAAGACACGAGAAGTCATTCTTCCTCTCTACTCTGCACTGATTAGCCTCAGTTGGAGTATTATGTCCAGTTCTGGGCACCACATTTCAAGAAAGATGTGGAGAAATTGGAGAAGGTCCAGAGAAGAGCAACGAGAATGATTAAAGGTCTAGAGAACATGACCTATGAAGGAAGACTGAAAGAATTGGGCTTGTTTAGTTTGGAAAGGAGAAGACTGAGAGGGGACATGATAGCAGTTTTCAGGTATCTAAAAGGGTATCACAAGGAGGAGGGTAAAAAAATGTTCTCCTTAGCCTCTGCTAGGATAAGAAACAATGGGCTTAAACTGCAGCAAGAGAAGGTTAGATTGGACATTAGGAAAAACTTCCTAACTGTCAGGGTGGTTAAACACTGGAATAAGTTGCCAAGGGAGGTTGTGGAATCCCCATCTCTGGAGATATTTAAGAGCAGGTTAGATAAATGTCTATCAGCGATGGTCTAGACAGGACTGGCTCCTGCCTTGAGGGCAGGGGTCTGGACTCGATGACCTCTCGAGGTCTCTTCCAGTTCTAGTGTTCTATGAGTCTATGTAGGCTATCATGCATTTAACTACTTAATTCCTAAGCCGCCAATCTTGTTATTAAATACGTTGAGCTCAGTATGTGACAACAACGACTCGTGCAGTTTCTTGTGGTAGCCAGTGAAGTGCTACTGACCTTCGCGAAGCAGCAGTGCCCTATTTGACCTGTGTAGCAACCTCCAAGGAATGGCTTCTAGGTGGGAAGAGCCTAGTGCAAGGCTTACTGGTTTAACTCCATCGGAAAGTGCTGCTTTTGACAAACCAGGTAGATTGGGTGACGACAGACGCCGCAGATTTTCGTCTTGAGACCCAGGGGATGTTTACCTCTGGGGTCTTGTTTCAAATATTTTGTTCTGATTTAGACACATACTCATTATTCTTAGATCCTGATTTTCATAGACTCATAGACTTTAAGGTCAGAAGGGACCATTATGATCATCTAGTCTGACCCCCTGCACAGTGCAGGCCACAGAATCTCGCCCACCCCTCTTAGAATAATCCTCTCACCTATGTCTCAGATATTGAAGCCTTCCAATACTTTGAAGGCCCCAACATGCAGAGAGTCCTTCAGCTGTGATCTGTGCCCAATGCTACAGAGGAAGGCGAAAAACCTCCAGGGCCTCTGCCAATCTACCCTGGAGGAAAATTCCTTCCTGACCCCAAATATGGCGATCAGCTAAACCCTGAGCATGTGGGCAAGACTCACCAGCCAGACACCCAGAAAGTTCCCTATAGCAACTCCTATCATCCCTCCATTGACCTATTTCCAACTGGAAATGAATGGTCAATTAGTTACCAAGATCATGTTATTTCATCCAACCATCCCCTTATCATAGAATCAGAACTGGAAGAGACCTCAGAAGGTCGTCAAGTCCAGCCCCCTGCTCTAGGCAGGACCAATCCCATCTAAATCAACCCGGCCAGGGCTTTGTCAAGCCGAGACTTAAACACCTCTAGGGATGGAGACTCCACTACTTCCCTAGGTAACCCATTCCAATGCTTCACTACCCTCCTAGTAAAATAGTTTTTCCTAATATCCAATCTGGACCTCTCCCACCACAACTTGAGACCATTGCTCCTTGTTCTGCCATCTGTCACTACTGAGAACAGCCTCTCTCCATCCTCTTTGGAACCTCCCTTCAGCGACTGGTAGAGATTCCTTCATGTCTATTCTCTGTCCAACCATCTAACATTGTTGCTTTGCTTTTCTCTGCTCCCCGCATACCCTTCTCTCCCCAGACCTACGAACAGAATGAATGGATAATCCACCTGGCTGGGAAGCTGCTGGCCAATGAAGAGGGAGCGTTGTCACTGATAGCACTCAATCCATTTCAGGGCAAGGCACCACCAAGGTAAGCTGTTTCTAGAAAGTTGACAGGTGTATCTAGACTCCCTCTACGATATGCTTCTTCATAGCTTGAAGATACAAATATTGTTTCTTTTTATGGTGTATTTTATTTAACAGGACACTGGGATCCTGCCAGTAGAGCAGTGCCCGATGAAAACGTTACACTCTAAACAACTTTGCCGCCTTCCTATTCCCTTCTGGGCTGACTTAGAGGAAGTCAGACATTCTTAGGTAGATATTCTGCCCAGGTGTTTGCATAAAGGGCCCAGCATGGCTTCCCTTGCACAGAAATCTTGTACAGTTGTCCTGCCTGTGAGCTTTAGATCATGATGTCAGGCTCGCGTTGCGTGGTCAACGCGCAAATTCTGTTTCCGGTGGCCATTTAAATCATGGGGTGATCAATGGTTTGTTTTCCAGAAGAAATATTTGGTTTGGTTGGAATTTGGGGCTTTTCGATTGAAAAACTGAAAACCAGCCGCCAAAACCTGAAAAACGGCTACCAAAGGACACGGTTCACAAAAATGTTTGTGGTCTCAAAAAAGCGGTTTTTGTTTAAAAAAAAATAGAAAACAAAAAAATTGCATGTGACCTCTCAGTTTGCTATTCACTAGTCTGTTTTGCTTTTCACTAATACTTTGAGGCTGTCAACATGTAATACACAGGGATTAAAAGTCACAACCCCCATGTGAACCAACCTTTCTTCCGAGGGCGAACTCATGCTTTTCAGGTCTGGCACAGAGTACTCCCAGATTATCCGAGGAAGGGACACTTAACTTCCTAAGACTATCCATTGGAATACCAAATGCTATTCTTCTGTTATCAGTCGCCTGAATAGATATCCGTGTTTCTCAATGCGATCTGCGAAACTTTGAGAAACCTGCTCACTGGCCGCTCTGGTGTGTTTATTTACTGGCTCTGCAGCCACGAAGCCACGCGACTCCCATTGTCCGCAAATGGCGAACCGGAGCCAATGGGAGCCGCGAGGCTCCGTGGCCACAGAGCAAGTAAGTAAACACACCCAAGCGGCCAGTGAGCAGGTTTTTCAAAATGGTTTTGTGGACCACATTGAGAAACACGGATATCTATCATCACAGGTGGAGGGACGTGTTCAGAAAGATGTGGAGAAATTGGAAAGGGTACAGAGAAGAGTGACAAGAATGATTAAAGGTCTAGAGAAGCCTATGAAGCCAGGCTTCATGAACTGGGCTTGTTTAGTTTGGAAAAAAGAAGATTAAGGGGGGACATGATAGTGGTTTTCAAATATCTAAAAGGGTGTCACAAGGAGGAAGGTGAAAATTTGTTCCTCTTGGTTTCTGAGGACAGGACAAGGAGTAATGGGCTTAAAGTGCAGCAGGGGAGGTTTAGATTGGACATTAGGAAAAAATTCCTAACTGTCAGGGTGGTCAAATATTGGAATAAATTGCCAAGGGAGGTGGTGGAATCTCCCTCTCTGGAGATATTTAAGAACAGGTTAGATAGACATCTGTCAGGGATGGTGTAGACAGAGCTTGGTCCTGCCTTGAGGGCGGGGGGCTGGACTCGATGACCACTCGAGGTCCCTTCCAGTTCTATGATTCTATGACTGATAACAGAAGAACAGAGTCTGGTATTCTAATGGACAGTCTCAGGATAGTAAGCGTCTCTTCCTCAGATAATACATATAAAATCTTCATCCCGTGCCAAAAGGAATCCCCCTGTAGGTAAATGCAATTCCCACCAACGCAAACCAGAACTTCCTATCACCATTCAGTCTGCTTTCCTAAAATCCTTCAGCCACCTTGCTTTGCATTCCTCTTCATTGCATAGACAGGTGCTATCGAAAACTCTCGGGCAGTTTGGTCACATTCAGAAGGAATTTGATCCAACTATCTACTTGCCTCGCAGAGCCCAGAAAATGGGTCACCGCATTACAGTCCAAGCTTTCCATGGAAGACGGCCATGGTTTGGAAATCTAAATGTATTCCCTTCAGAGCTTCGGTCTGTCCCTTCCCAGCAGCAGTGTGAAGCAAACAGAACAGCAGTGCCCTCTGGTAGAGAACAGGCTCCTATGTTGCACGGGGCATGGAATATTACCCTGAGCCAGAAGACTCACAAACGTAACAGAGTCCCCGTAAATTCCAGTTTATTGTTTGAGGCGCATTATTGGCTAATATCACGGTGTGTTCCGTTACACAATCGATAGATTTGTTAGACCAAAATAATTGCATTTTGGATGTCATCCAAGCAGGCTCTTGGGGCACTTCCATTAATTACCCCGGCACAAGGCACACCGGGATATCAGAGAATGCTCCTTGCCGCCGAATGACACAGCTTTAATCGTGTTTACTGCGGGGTCCTCAGCTCTGATTAGCCCAGCCTGCATTAGCTTTACAAACGAGGAACAGATCGCTCATGTCGCCTGCCCCGCTGGTCTCCCCGGGCAGTATTAAAAGGAACGTGGAGTGGAAGGTGAAGCCTGTTTTCTGGTGTCGTTTGATTACCCTGTCACTCCTTGCGGGGGGGAGGTTGTGAACTTGCACTCGGCTCTGCTACGTGTTCCTTAAGCAAACCATGACGGCGCCATGGAGGTGCATGTCTATTTGTGCAGCCCCTGATGCGAATGAATAGCACGGAGCAGGTTGCCAGCTAGCTGCAAATGCTCCGCTTGGTATGGAGAGGCCTCTCACAGTTCTGTATTTCCAAGGATCTGCCACTCAGGCGACCTGATCCACCGCCATCCCTTCTCCCTCTCTTCTCTCCCTCCTAACGGGGGCGCTGGAACTGGTCGTACAGTGGGGGTGCTGAGAGCCATGGAACCAAACTGCACGCCTTGCACGTGCTGGAAACCACCCTGAGCCAGGGAGCATGGCAGCACCTCCCCAGTTCCAGCACTCATTCTCCTGACTGGGGCGGGTTGCAGGTCTGCCCGGTGCCCTGTCTATACTGTGTTATGCCAGCGAGCCAGGCTGCCTGACCGGGCCAGCGTCTGTGTGTTGCTTGCGCTTCAAGGGCTGTGAACAGCGCGTTACCGGTCGTTACAAGTTACCACTCACTGCTCTAATGCGCATCTGTTCTTGAGGTGAAAGCCGTGCAGAGATAATCTATTCAGGGCAATAAAAGAGCCTAAACGCATGTTAATAACCATAGCAGAGGTCACCCGGCTGTTCCAACAAGGGTTCTGGCAGGAGTCACTCCTATAAATGCCACCCAGGGTTTTTCTGGGGTTACTAGCTGATGAGTCACCTCCGAATAAATTGGGCAGTTCAAGCCTGGCTCTCTCTATAGCTTGGCCTTTTCATCTGCAGTAGGGATATGAGTGTTTAACTGGTTTACCGATAAGCTGCTGCTGATCAGTTCCTGTTAACAGTTAAACTCTGCGAGGGCACGTGGGAGCCGGCAGCTCCGTGGTTAATCATGTCACCGATCGGATTTTTATCGGTTACGCGGTTGATATGTTTACACCCCTCATCTCCGGCCTTCCAGAACAGTCAATCAGTTGATGGTGGGCGTAGCTTCGAAAGGTCGGGATTTTGCATAACAGGCAAAGGGCATTTGCATTCACTTTCCCCTCGGTATTTCCCGGGAATTCCACTCCCCAAGCGTTGTCCCAAAAGACCGTTCTCGTCGGCCCCGTTGTTTGGCGTATTATGGGCTCCCAGTAACCCATACCCTTTGGACTCCAAAGATGCTTTCGCTTCATTTAAGAAGGGCTTTTAGGGTTATTGCCGTAGCCGTCAGTGACCTCATCACCACCATGTCGGCCTGTATCTGGCTTGCGCGGGACACTGCTGGCTAGCTGGCCCCACAGGGAGGCTGCAACACGGACCATGGGGAGAAGTTGCCAGGGGATGGGCCTGAATTCATGTTATACACAGTGGGCAAGAATGAGCTGGAATAGCCGCCACCAGAGGATTGCGTGGCAACCCGGTTCAACGGGCCTTGTTCTTGCAGGTGGCTTTCCCCTCCCTGATCTCACCCCACTCCGCTTGCAGAGAAGCTGAGTGCCTGGGCTTGAACTGAATGGCCATCACACTCGGGATACATCTACACCACAGTAAAAAAGCCCGCGGCACTGGGACTCAGAGCTGACTGAGAGAGGGGTCTGCTGACTCAGGTTTGCGGGGTTATAAAATTCCAGTGCCAGCATTCAGGCTCAGCCTGGAGCCCCAGGCTTGGGACCCTCCCTCTCCTTCGTGGCTCTGGCCAGAGTCGGAACATCAACATTGCAACGTCAGTGGAGCTGTGCTGTCTGTGGTCATGTCGTGAGTCATACTGCAGTGTAGCTGTACCCTTAGGGCCATGTTTTCCTTAAGCTACGCAATTGCAGCTGCATGACTAGCGCAACTGGAGTTAACGTACCTTGGGCTGAATTGTCGCGGGGTCTCCTGTAGAAGGTTGACTGGAGAAACTCATTCCAGTAGAGTACCAGAGTCAAGGAGAGAGCCACTGGTGATTGATTTAGTGGGTCTTTACTAGATCCTCTAAATCAACCCCCGGGGAATTGATCGCCTCAGTATTGATCTCCGGTTAAGTGTGGGGCTCCTTATTGTTCTCAATCATTGTTTCTTTTCTGAAGGGTCCTGAAAGGTGGTTGCCTCATGGAGTTGTGAAGAGAATCTAAAGCCTTTAGACACTGGTTTGAATCAGGCACCCCCCATTGGCAGCAACCAAAAGTTGTTACCATCTGACAGCTGTGGGCAATAAACAGCTCTTGCAGTTGATTAAACAGCAAAAGGGTTTGATAATCACAAAAGCTGTTTATTGCCAGGATACCCCCAGTGCCATAAACATTGTTCCTATTCTACAAGATGGTTTCAAAAATCGTCTTACACTCATGGTAACAACTTTAAAAAATCAAGGAAAAATGCTTGTTGTTTTTGCCTTGTTGGGTATTCATAAAAGATGGGCGGTATATTTGCATCTTCCATACACTTTCTAGAATTGTCGCATTACAAAAAAATGTAACTGAGTTTAAAAACCAGAAAATAATTGTGGGAAATGTAGTTAGGTTAATTAATTTTTTTT